CACACACACACACACACACACACAGCATGCATAAAATGAGCAACATTTCAATATGCTGCATTTACCTGAATCCTAGGACAATCACTCTGAGGAAGTTAGCATACTTGATTTTGTAGATGGGCTCAAGCTGGAACAAATAACAAATAATTACGGACATCACTTAAAACAGGGTAATCTAGGTTAAGTGTTTGTTACATAATTGTCTCTTCTATTAATTAAATGTTTAAAAGTCAAGAAAAGTATCATCAATGTGCTTCAGTAAATATAATAAATGGATTTTAACTCACCTCATCTTTGACAAGCTTAGACCTGTCCTTGAATTCCACAGTGCTGCTATTGCTGAATGCATCTATAAATGTGTCCAAAGAACGAAACTCCAGATCTGTTAGCACCTCAGGTACTGTTTGTGCAGTAGTTGCTGTAGAAGTTGTAGATGTTGTAGAGACTGTAGATGCTGTAGAAGCTGTAGACTCTGTAGATGCTGTAAAAGCTATAGAATATGTAGATGCTGTAGACTGAGCAGATGTGGATGACACTGTAGAAGCTGTAGATGCTGTAGAAGCTATAGAATCTGTAGAGGCTGTAGACTGAGCAGATGTGGATGACACTGTAGAAGCTGTAGACAATGTAGAAGCTGTAGGCTCTGTAGATGCTGCAGAAGCTGTAGACTTTGTAGAGGCTGTAGACTCTGTAGATGCTGTAGGCGCTGTAGACTGAGCAAATGTGGATGACACTGTAGAAGCTATAGACACTGTAGAATCTGTAGAAGCTGTAGACTCTGTAATTGCTGTAGAAACTGTAGACTCTGTAGATGTTGTAGACTCTGTTGATGCTACTGTAGATGCAGTAAACTGAGCAGATGTGGATGACACTGTAGAAGCTGTAGACGCTGTAGAGACTGTAGAAGGAATGACTGTTGTAGCACTAGTGGTGGATGTGTCAGCAGCTGGTGAAGAGGAACTGACTGAAGTCAAGGTAGAAGTTGTTGATTGTACCACTGTTGTGGTTATTGCTTCACTGCTGGTGGATGTTCCAGTAATAGATGTTGGGGCTGTGGATGAACCTGTTGGTGTTGTGAATGTTTCAGCTGTGCTAACAGCTGTACTATGAGAAGCAGCTGAAGAGGAATTAGTCAAAGAGGACTGTGTGGTTTGAGATGCTGTGGCAGTGACTGGTGCACTAATGGTGGATGACTCAGTAAGAGTTGTTGTGACAGAGGAAGAACCTGTTGGGGTTGAAGTTGTTGGTATTGTGCATGGACTGTAATTTGGACAAAGTATAGTTGAGGGCATCGCGGTTGTTGTAGCTGTTGTGGAAGATTCAACTGTTGTAACACTAGTTTGTGGTGCTGTTGTGGTTACTCTTGCAGTAGTGGTGGACGATTCAGCAAGAGTAGTGGTTGTTAAGGGCACTGCTGTTGTTGTAGCTGTTGTGGAAGATTCAGTTGTTGTAACAGTAGTTTGTGGTCCTGTTGTGGTAACTCCTGTAGTAGTGGTGGATGATTCAATAAGAGTTGTAGTGGTTGTTGAGGGTGCTGCTGTTGTTGTAGCTGTTGTGGAGGATTCAGTTGTTGTAACAGTAGTTTGTGGTCCTGTTGTGGTAACTCCTGTAGTAGTGGTGGATGATTCAGTAAGAGTTGTAGTGGTTGTTGAGGGCACCGCTGTTGTGGAGGATTCAGTTGTTGTAACACTAGTTTGTGGTGCTGTTGTGGTAACTCCTGCAGTAGCGGTGGATGATTCAGTAACAGTTGTAGTGGTTGTTGAGGGCACTGCTGTTGTTGTAGCTGTTGTGGAGGATTCAGTTGTTGTAACAGTAGTTTGTGGTGCTGTTGTGGTAACTCCTGCAGTAGCGGTGGATGATTCAGTAACAGTTGTAGTGGTTGTTGAGGGCACTGCTGTTGTTGTAGCTGTTGTGGAGGATTCAGTTGTTGTAACACTAGTTTGTGGTGCTGTTGTGGTAACTCCTGCAGTAGCGGTGGATGATTCAGTAACAGTTGTAGTGGTTGTTGAGAGCGCTGCTGTTGTTGTAACCGTTGTAGAAGATTCAGCTGTTGTTACACTAGTTTGTGGTGCTGTTGTGATTACTCCTGCAGTAGTGGTGGATGATTCAGTAAGAGTTGTAGTGGTTGTTGAGGGCACTGCTGTTGTTGTAGCTGTTGTGGAAGATTCAGTTGTTGTAACACTAGATTGTGGTGCTGTTGTGGTTACTCCTGCAGTAGTGGTGGATGATTCAGCAAGAGTTGTAATAGTTGTTGAGGGCACTGCTGTTGTTGTAGCTGTTGTGGAGGATTCAGTTGTTGTAACAGTAGTTTGTGGTGCTGTTGTGGTAACTCCTGGAGTAGTGGTGGATGATTCAGTAACAGTTGTAGTGGTTTTTGAGGGCGCTGCTGTTGTTGTAGCTGTTGTAGAAAATTCAGTTGTTGTAACACTAGTTTGTGGTGCTGTTGTGGTAACTCTTGCAGTAGTGGTGGACGATTCAGCAAGAGTAGTGGTTGTTAAGGGCACTGCTGTTGTTGTAGCTGTTGTGGAAGATTCAGTTGTTGTAACAGTAGTTTGTGGTCCTGTTGTGGTAACTCCTGTAGTAGTGGTGGATGATTCAATAAGAGTTGTAGTGGTTGTTGAGGGTGCTGCTGTTGTTGTAGCTGTTGTGGAGGATTCAGTTGTTGTAACAGTAGTTTGTGGTGCTGTTGTGGTAACTCCTGCAGTAGCGGTGGATGATTCAGTAACAGTTGTAGTGGTTGTTGAGAGCGCTGCTGTTGTTGTAACCGTTGTAGAAGATTCAGCTGTTGTTACACTAGTTTCACACACACACACACACACACACACACACATTCATATATATATATACAGTGCCCTCCACTAATATTGGCACCCTTGGTAAATATGAGCAAAGGCGGCTGTGAAAATAAATCTGCATTGTTTATCCTTTTGATCTTTCATTAAAAAAAATCACAAAATTCTAACCTATCATTGTAAAACAATTGAAAGTGGGGGGAAATCTCATTGTGACATAAATGCTTTCTCAAGTTCACATTGGCCAGAATTATTGGTACCCAATTATTGAAAAATCCTTTTCCCAAGATAACAGCTTTTTCTCCTGTAACAGAGTTTTCTCCTATAATGCCTGAAGAGTTTGGAGAACACCTGATAAGAGATCAGAGACCATTCTTTCGTACAGAATCTCTCCAGATCCTACGGATTCCCAGCTCCATGTTGGTGCTTCTTCTCTTCAGTTCACCACACTCATTTTCTATAGGGCTCAGGTCAGAGGACTGGGACAGCCATGGCAGAAGCTTCATTTTGTGCTCAGTGATCTATTTTTGTATCGATTTTGATGTTTGTTTTGGATTATTGTCCTGATGGAAGATTTAACCACGGCCCATTATAAGATTTCTAAGAGAGGCAGTCAGGTTTTGATTTTTGTATCTGTTGGTATTTGATAGAATCCATGATACCATGCATGAACAAAATGTCCAGGACCTCCGGCAGAAAAACATTAAAGGCCCACAACATTAAAGATCCAGCAGTATATTTAACCGTGGGCATGGGGTACTTTTTATCCCTGTTTGTACTAAACCCATCTGGTGGGTTTTCTGCCAAAAAGCTATTTTTTTAGTTTCATCTGACCAAAGAAGTCAGTGCTATTTGAAGTGCCAGTCGTGTCTAACAACTGAATATGCTTTTTGGATGAGCGAGGAGAATTTTTCTTGAAACCCTCCTGAACAACATGTGGTGATTTTTTTAGGCTTTCTGGCCCTAAGACTCAACTAAACTCTGCAATTCTCCAGCTGTGATCCTTGGAGAGTCTTTGGCTACTCAAACTTGCCTCCTCACTGTGCATTAGGACAATATAGACACACATCCTCTTCCAGGCATATTTGTAACATATTTAGTTAATTGGAACCTCTTCATTATTGCACCTGATGGTGGAAATGGGAATTTTCAATGCTTTGGCTCTTTTCTTACAGCCACTTTCTATTTTGTGAAGCTCAACAATCTTGTTCTGCACATAAGAACTATATTCGTTGGTTTTACTCCTTGTGATGAAAGATTAAGGGAATTTGGCCTTTGTGTTCCTCATATTTATAATCCTGTGGAGCAGGAAGTCATGGCTGGACGATTTCATGCTCCTAGTCACCCTGGTGTGCTAAAAATGTAAATATGAATGGGATTATACTTCAGAGATGTTTTACTCATAAGAATTTCTAGGAGTGCCAATAATTGTGGCAAACATGCATTGAAGAAAAACTTAAATTTTCTCCCCACTTTCAAATGTTTTACTTCAATGAAAGGTTAGACATTTTGCAAATTTTCTGAACGAAAGATCAAAAAGACCAAGGAAGCAGATTTATTTGGACAGCCGCCTTTGCTCATATTTACCAAGGGTAAAAGTACCAAATTTAGTGGAGTGCACTGTGTAAGCCTCCTATCCCAAGGCTACATTTATTTAATAAATGGACAAAAATACAGAAAAACAATAATGTTGTAAAATATGAATAACTGGCTTCTATTTGAATATATTTTAAATAATATATTTTGTAATTTATTCCTGTGCTGCAAAGCTGAATTTTTTAGCAGCCATTACTCCAGTCTTCAGTGTCACATGATTCTTCAAAAGCATAGAAGACTTATTTCAAAAACATGAACAAACTGAATTATTCCAAACTTTTGACCAGTATTATATAATAATATAATAATAAAGCAAAACATTCATATATATATATATATATATATATATATATATATATATATATATATATATATATATACACAATCACTGCATCCAACAGATGTCAGATGTTAGCAGCATCAGATGTGGAAGAGTATAAAATAAACTTTACAAACATTATTTTCATGGTTTCAGTAGCACCATGCAAAAACTTGCACTCTTGATTTAACAGTTATCTACTCTGTCTGAAAAAAAAATGTATATACTAATACTATTTTATTATGACTCCTTAATATTAAACACAAATGGTTCAGTAAACAAATCTAGATAATCTAGACATCTAGATAAATGATTACTTTTATAAATGTTCTGACTACATTAATTTCATATAAAATGCATTTAACAGTAACAGAACACAGAGACTACTACAAAAATGACAAGAAAATTTACATTTTATCACATTACTACATTATGTGAAATTAAATTAGTAATGCTTTGATTGTTATGCCCGATATACAATATTTTCAGCAATTAAACTATATAATATAAATATAATTAAGACAAATATATTTAGTTAAATAAAGTGCTCTTACCAGTCCTTTAGCAGTATATTATGCTGAACACGTTGATCGGTAATCCGCTGTTGTCTCAGTGATCCAATAGTTATTCTATGCTTCAGTTCTTCCACTTCTCTTTAATCACCTGTGACGCTGCCTCTTAAATACCACTTAGTGACGTCCTGACTTGTGGTTTGTTACTTCACTGATATGCACAGATAAGGCATAGCCTATGGAATGCTTTTGGCAAACACCGTGGAGATATTTTTTCGTAAATCTTTTGTATTGTGCCCGTCTAAAGTGTCTGGAGTGCGCAACAATTTATTATAGGAAGGCTTATTTATAGAAACTGTAAAGTAACTTGATAAAGCCATATTTGCACATTTTAATTTATAAGCGTATGCCATTCTCATATCGTGATTATGTTTTCATTTCAATCAGACATTGTTTTAAATGTATCCAAAATTCGCGGAATAGAGCGATTTGTTTTGAGGGCACATAATTTGTTTTAATTTTTTAATTTCTTGATATTACTGCATGAATGTTAGTGGAATAAATAAAAAATGGAATTGCATTAGCAGTTTATACAAAAACAACATCAAACTCAGAGATTCCCATGAGTTTAATAATTGATCAGCACGTGATCTTTTTATGGATCCTATACATCAACTGATCACGATTACCGCACGTGTGAGATGTCAAAAGGGACCAACACAAAAGACACTAGGTTTACCTATGCGTTCTTCACATACTGGCACTTAGTTTCACTGGCTTCCTTGACGTTTTTGAGAAAGTTTGCCCTCACTAATGAGGCATCACTAGCCCAATACTCAACAATTGAACTCGTAGTGCCGATACGCGCATATTTAGTAGCTATATAGAATGTTTCACATAGTTGTTTTTCTGCCGATAAGTATCGCGGTACTCATTGTAAATTAGAAATAGAGAGAGAGACAACCTTTCTAAATTGCTATTATTTTATTTTTTTGTAACAATTGATGTAGCCGAGCCATTTCTAATAATAGATATATT